AATTTGGCCAAACGGTTCAATGCCTCATGAGGCTTCATCTCACCATCACTACTGATAGGTGTATCATGCAGTGGGGAAGTTGATGGGTGGGTGAAGGGCAAGTAATTTTAATTGGCAGCAAGAAATTGTGAGAAGTGCTGTGTGTTGTAGCTCAAATCTTATTAAAAACTAAGGCTGTCCTGGTACAACTTTTTCATTTCCAATACGATACAGATATTGCAGCTTTGAGGATTGACCAATGCCGATATTGACCCGATACGAAATGAACACGACCCATACAAGCTGCTTACTCATACAAGCAACTTATTTTATACTGTAGAATGTTAAAAAAGACTTGATCAAGTCATATTACACTGAAAAAAATTATGTATCCGCTTTTGGCATATATATTAATCATATTTACTTACTTTAACACAACTGTTTTATGTCCTACCCTGCTAACATGAAACAACTGTGTTAAAGTAGCTTAATATGATTACGTAAACGGCAAAAACGGTTGCATTATTTTTTTTCAGAGTACTAAAATGAGAACAAAATTAACAACAAAAGTTATGAAAACAACTGCCGCATGTTAAATTAAGCAGGGAGTTACAGAAACATGTAACAGAAGGAGAGTGTTTCTATCAGTGTGAAAATCTTGGAGATTTTATATGCTGGCTGATTTTTAAAACTGGATCAGGACATCCCTATTAAAACAGAACCATCCTGTAAATTATATTTACAAAATTCCCACTCAAGTCTAGTTATTGTCAAGTCGATAAGTAAGTGTTCTTCCAGACATTAAAAGGTCCTTGAAGCTGAAAAGAATCAGGGGAAAAAATGTGTTTTCTTAGTTGTATCAGGAACCTTAAGAGTAATGTAAAAACAAACAGGAAGGTTGCCACTCGAGACACAAAATCATCAAGGTAGACTGAGAAAGACGAAGATGAAAAACCTCAAATCAGAGCCAACACTTTAAATAAATATGTAAGTCCAAAGCAAAGCTTAACAACAAATTAAAATAGAGATTAGAATTATAAAAGGGGAGAGTCAGAAGTGGACCACCGTTCACATCAACATATGCATAAGTAAACTTTTTATTATTTTATTACAGTCATCTTTAGGGATGAGTCCTTAATCTCCATCTGCCAAAAACTGGAAAAAAGGAATTATTTCAGTCATCGTGGCTGCAGTAGCCAGATGATTCCAGTTTTCCTGCATTAATGAGAAACTTTGTTTCCCAAATACTTTTTCAAAGAAATTGGAGTTGAAGAGGAAGCTGCTATTTGCTCCCTTTTCACAAACTGTCATCATTAAGGTTGCCTTCAGACAAGGAACTGTATGATGCACGATAACTTTAAATTTTTTATAGCTCTATATTATTTTTTTATTTATCTTTGCGTATATTTAATTCTGATGCTTATGCTTTAAATCGGAGCATCATTAATGCTTATGTGCTTTTGTTTTCTTCTAAGGGTAAAGTACCCCATAAGTTTTATAAATTGATTTAACTGTTTCTATGGAAAAAAAAAACTAAAAAAACAAAATAAACTGACTGGTCGTCTATGAGTTAATTGCAGAACTTATTTAGGAATATTGATCGGATATGTTGGGTTAGCAGGAAGGGTTAACGGTCACCTGTCAAACAGCTCCACGTCTTGTCTCTCCACAGGCAGTTCGTAGAAGCTCAGCTCGGCGTTGCTAGCGAGGGACCTCCAGATGAAACCTTTGGTGCAGTCGTCGAGCTTCAGCGGGAACTTTGGCTTTCTGTCCTCCAGGCGAATCCAAAGAGAAGGGAGGGTTATTCCCTCCAGTCCCTCCAACGCCACTTCATCCGCAACGATGCTCAGCGCGTCCATAGTTGAGCTAACGCTGCGTGTTCTTTGCTAACACGCTAATTAACTGACATAGTCGACTAGTTAAACACAAACGCTTTGAAGAAGCAGTTGTTGTTGTTATTGATCTTGGCTAGAAATTAAACAACATTTTTGCTCAAATTAGACACGAAACAACCACACAAAAAGACGCTACTGATAGCTCTTCAATTAGTATTGGTGTACGTCATAGTTCAACTTTGACCTTACGTCGTGCGTGTGTTTGGAAAATTAATCTCCACAAGGGGGTGCTCAAGAGCACTGGAGCAGCTATGAACGTTCTCAGTCGCAGCAGAATCATCTCCACACTCCATTCCAGTAGATGGCGGTAATGCGCATCAATAAGTTTTTTGCCAACGGCCATAAAAAAAAGAAGAGGAAGCAGCAGAGTCAAAGCACATCATAGCAAAAAGGCCAATGGAGACCTTTATATTTTCTAGAAATCTTAAACCATTTTTTTTTGTTCTTTGTATTTTTTAAATTACTTTATCGGTGGTAAAACAGATGGGTCTATACATTGTTTTATAAATGCTTATTTTATTATATCTTATTTTACACGGTTTATATGAGAAGGATGTAATTTTACTGTGCGCGTTGTAATTTTACTTATTTTATGTTGTTCTATTGTCCTATTTCTGTTGTACTTACAATCTTATTTTTATAATTTTTCTCTCTTCTGTAAATGGTTGCACAGCAAGAAAATTATTTCCCCCATAAAATTAATAAAGTAATGCTGATTCTGATGCTTTAAATAATTTGTTTCTTATAATTATAAGGGATTTTCTACTTACTACAAATGAAAAAAAAACAACATCTAAAATGATATCACATCAGAACAGTAGTAGTTTTTTTTTTTTTTTTTTACATACTTTAAGGTTGTGATTTTCAAAAGGTAGGGTAAATCAGCCAAACTTGAGCCTCATGCATCTAACTGATTAGAAAGCTTTTTGTAATAAAACATCAACTTTGCCAAAATAGACTCTAAATGTTAAATTGTAACATCTAATGATACACTTAATTAAAAACAGTGCTTTTCAAATTCACAGATCTAATGGACTATTTGAATATTTTTCTTTTGTCAGTAAATATTTATGGTTCTGTTGCAGTGCCATAGTTAAATTTCAGTCTAAACAATCTAGAGACAACCAATAGACTTCCTGTTTCCCTGCAATGATGGAAAATAACCATCAGATTATAACAGGGCTGAGTAGAGAAGTAAACTTTTGGAATACATTTTGATCCATCTGCTATCAGTGATAGGATCCGTGGAATCTGCTGGTCTTGGTCCTATTATGTGTGATCATGTCCAGGCAGTACACTTCCCTCCTCCAACAGTATCTGCTTGGCACCTGCTCAGACTGCCAAAAGTACCAGTACCTGTTTTATTGACCACAGTATCACTCTGCCCCACTGTATTGATGCAGAAATTTATTGAAAAGGACATCAAGTCAATTCACTACAGTACTGAGACAGTTTCTGAGGCCACAATTTAATATTGTAATCAATTTATTCTATGAAAACCTTCATAGAATTAATAATAGAAATTGGTTTTCATCATAATGATCAAATATACCACTATTAAGAAGCTCCTTTTAGTTACTAAAATAATCCAAGTCTATTTATCGAGATGTAATCAAATCATATTGTTAGAAAATAATCATACATAAAAATAAATGGTCTTAAGCTGTTAATTCAATTTAAGCCAACATTAAAGGTGGCACATATCATATATAAGAAGTAGACCTAAGCCATTCAAAGAGGAAATCTGTAAAGTTCTGCTTAAAATATAATGGAGACAAAAAGAGGTTTACTCAACATCTTTATTATGAAGTACCTTTTTTTAAAAGAAATGTACAAGTGGAACCAGCACAGGGACATCTTGGCATTAGAAATAAAAACCAAAACAAAAGAAGAACTAGGATCACCATGGACAATGTGGTGCAGGTGTGAGAACACGTATGAAATGATAATGTACATATTTACAGCACAGGGTTGATCTGAACAGAGGGGGGGAGAGAGAGCAATGCGGCAGCTTCAAAGGAAAAAAAAAGGAAACACACGAACACACAGGGAGTGACTCATGACTAAATTTACATTAAAAACATGAATTGGTTAAGAAAACATGATAAAAGGCACTGTGTTTTACACAAATCCCCAATGCTGTAGACTGTGTTCTTGCTGTGATTTTAAAACTAAATCAGCAACAAAAAAACTATTTGAAACGTTACCATTCATCTGTCTATAACTAAGGTTAAAACAAGATGTCAGAGGGCCAAAGCAGTTTGCAAAAAAAAAAACAATAAAAATAGATAATTCATTCAAAAACATTCCTTATAAAACAACATGCTGAGTAATTATTAAGGGTTTTTTTTTAAA